GCGACGCTTACCCCTCTCCTTGGTCACGTGGTAGATGAGCGGCATCCGCGGGCGGTCGCTGAAGACCTCGGCCTGCTGCACCAGCGCCTCGCGCACGCTGTGGAAGTCGTTGAGGACCACCACCAGGTGCCGGCCGATGTAGAAGCTGAAGATGTTGCCGTACACGCGGGCCAGCTCGGTCAGGAACAGCTGCGCGCCCATGCTGGAGGGGTCCATGCCCGCGGCCCTCGCCTGGCGGTGTATCCAAGTCCGGCCGCGGAGGCAAGGCGGCAGCAGCACGAAGCCGATGTTGCCCACGATGGGCCAGGGCGTGGGCCCAGGGGGGATGTCCAGCGGCCGGCTTCGCCACAGCCATCGCCAGCCGAGCAGCGCGGCCAGGCCGAGCAGCAGCAGCGCGCCGCCGGTAGGGTCCAGCCGCAGCAGCCCCCGAGGCGCGGGCAGGAGACTCAGAGGCCAGGGCAAGCCCTCGCCGGGGGCCTGGGGCGACGCGGAGTCCATGGTCGGCGCGACTGCAACCTGAGCCTCGCGTCCCTCCCGCTGTCCCGGGGAGAGTGCGCGCCGAGGGCGGCGCCCGGCTGCTGGCTGCGGCTGGGCCGGCAGCCCGGGGCGGGAGGAGCGGCGGAGGGCGCCCGGGATTGGCTGCGCTCCCCGCTTCTCCCCACCTCCTCTAGCCAGCGACCCGCGGGCGGAAACGAGGGGGCGCTCGCTGCGCCGCAGAGGGAGTCCCCCCGACAGAGCGGGTCGCGCCGTCTGCAAGTGTGGCCCCCAACCCCCGTACCGTGTCTCCTCTGGGTGGGGCTTAGCCCGAGGGAATTTCCGTAGATATTTGTAAGCGAAGATGCTTGCTGCGCATTGTTGCGCTGTGATTGGCTGTTACTTCCTAGAGTCGTTCGTTTGTCCGTCAAGTGCATATATCATGCCCGCACAACAGGCCCCTGATGTGACAGCCTCAACCCCAGCACCTCCACCCTGAGACGGGAGAGAAGTGTCCCCGCCTCACCCCTTGGTGGCAAAACCACGGGGTTACTTCTTTATCTAAATCGGGATTTGGAGAGACAGCAGGATGATGGAAACGCAACAAGTAGAATTAGTAGGTGTAGGCGGCCAAAGCTGCGGGAAGGGTGGGCAGGGATGTTGGTGGGTGGGGTGATAAGCTCTGCTAGCTTTCAGGTCTGCTCTTCTCATCTTGTTTTTGCCACGTTTTTCTTAAGTTATTTTAAGCTTAAAAAAATCCTCATATCTTCTATAATTAACCATTAATTTTTTATTACTTTTCTCATTTTTTTTGAATTTCAAGAATTTTAAACGTTTAAACTAGTATAGTTTGCAGATATGATATTCATCATACCAGCTGATTCTCTTCATAGCCTTGCTCTCTGAAATAGTAGCCAATGACATCTTTCCTTACAAGCAACTCAAATTCACAAGTGATTTTAAGATAGTTGAAGATGTGACTAATTTAACGACACTAACAGACACCCTCTTGCACAGGACAGAATTGCATTTATCGTCTTTTCCTAAATATTCTCTTATCTCGTTAGGTTAACAGATCTGTCATGCAGATAGGAAGTGTTATGGGCTAAATTGTGTTTCCCCAAAAATTAATATGTGGGAGCCCTAACCTCCAGAACTTCAGAATGGGACTGTATTTGGAGACTGGGTCTTTAAAGAGGTTATTAAGGTAACATGAGGTCATATGAGTGGGTCCTAATCCAATATGGCTGGTGTCCATAAGAGGAGGAGATTAGGACACAGATATGTGTGCACAGAGGGAAAGATATGAGGGCACAGTCAGAAGGCCCAGGAGAGACGCCTCGGAAGAGACTAACCCTGCCAACGCCAGGGTCTTGGACTACCAGCCTCCAGAACTGTGAGGAAATCAATTTCTGTTGTTTAAGCCACACATTCTGTAGTGCTTTGTAATGGCAGCCCTAGCAAACTAATACAGGAAGCTAGATTGTTCATAATACCATGGATAAACTATTTTAAACATGAAGCCACATAGCTCATCCAGTGCTTAGGGATGAATTTCCCCAAACTGTAATCAGGGCTTTCTTGCTAGGATAAGGAATATTTTCTGCTTCGTCCTTTCTGTTTTAAATAGGAGAATAGTGTAATAAACAGTAGCAGTAAAGGAAGAGAATACTAAAAGATCTTTGGGGGGCAGGAGGGCAGAGGAGAAGGAGAGCATTAAGGAAATAAAAGCATTTTTTATTGAATCTCCAAAGATCATTTTTAAGCCACTCACTTTCCCACTGAAATCCCTCTTGCTGTGCATGGATTTTGGCCAGAATTGTTGGTAACAGTATATCCAAAATACTTAAGTACTTATTATTTTGTTATCAAGAGTGGTGTTGAATTACTCCATTTGTAACACTATAATTGTCCAGCTGGTTCGTAATTCCCTGGGAGGTAAATGCCACACAATATACCTGACTAGAGTCAGCGAGCATGAACAGAGAGGCAGAATCTCAAAAGTAACAAAATCTAATTTCTTTTATTTAGACAAAGTGGTGCCAAGATTGAAACAAACTTTGTTTAATACCTGAACTAGAAACAGTCCAGATATCCTTCAACAAATGGGGAAGAGAAGGGGAGGAAACTGTGGTATATTTGTAAAATAGACTGCTCAGCAATATGAAAGGAATAAATTGTGACACCCCCCCCCATCATGCTTCTCAAAAAACATTATGCTGAGTGAAAAACCCAGACACAAAAGACTACATACTGAATATTTATATTTATAAGGAGTTCTAGAAAGGAACAATTAACCTATGGTGATAGAAATCAGAGGGTGGGATTGATTGGGAAGGGACATAAATACTTAGGAGAATGTACTATGTGCCAGGCAGGACAAGGAATTACTCTGCCCTCCAGGATGTCAGTCTAGTGGTAAGACCCACATCCTGGCCCTAGATTAATTACAAAATTATGTAGCTTCAGTTTTGATAAGTACAGTGAAGGAAGAATATGCATGCAATGAAACCGGTTCTAACATGAGAGGGTAAATTACGTGGAGAGGCAGTGAGAAAAAAAAATTTTAAAAGCTCCCCGAGGAAAATATTTAACACTTGGCTGATGCACAAGAGTGACTCATAACACACAAAAATCAGGGACCTACGCCAGCCAATAAGACAAAGGGAGGGGAAGACTGATAAACAGGGGAATAAATAAATAAATGGAGTTTAGAGAAGGATGCATGTGATATTTACTGCAACAAATGACGTTTTTTTCTTAACCCTGAAAATTGCCCAACTTAGACTCCCATTGGCAGGGATCGCAGAGGCTACAAACCCCAGGGTATTCAGTTTGCCAGTAGGCTCCTAAAGGGTTTACTGGACTTTCTATCTTTCTGGGAAGATAAATATCTTCTTAAACTCTTGCACGCAAAACTCAGAGGGTGAAAAGAATATCCCTCCCTCTTTCTAACATGGCCCAAGTTTCTCCCCGTGACACCGCCTGAAGAGTGAGGCTTCGTTCTGGGAAAGAGAGCTCCAGCCCGGCTGCAAACCCTCTGCCCTCTCATTAGTCTTCCTCAACTTTCCCGAGGGTTTCTCACTTCTGATGTCGGAATATGAACGGGCCGGCCATCCATTACAGCTCAGAGGCATCTTAAAGGCGTCGGGCAAGGGAAGNCATACTGAATATTTATATTTATAAGGAGTTCTAGAAAGGAACAATTAACCTATGGTGATAGAAATCAGAGGGTGGGATTGATTGGGAAGGGACATGAGACATTTTTCTGGGGTGGTGGAAATATTCTCCATCTTGATCAGACTGTTGGTGACTTGAGTGTAAGCCATTTGTTAAAACTGAACTGTGCATTTCACGCTAGGTAAATTATATTTCAGGAGAACAAATAAAAAATAAAATCCAGTATCTTGGAAGAAAAAGACATGGTGAAGTAAGAAGACTTAAGTTACCTATTGTGAAGTGGATGCCCTCAGTAACAGTTACATGATATATTGTTACTATAACAACAGTGACTAGTAGTTTAGTATGTAAATAAAGAGGAATAGAATTGTTACTGATCCCTGTTTGATTTCTTTAAAAAAAAATTTTTTTTTTTAAGCTGAGCCATCCTGCCACCTGCTGGCAGCTGAGCTGCTGCTCTCAGCTCGGGCTGGGAATCAAACCGGCGACCCTGTTGCTCAGAGCTTGCACTCTTGAGTGAGCTCTTAACCAACTGAGCCACTTGGCCAGCCCCCACTGTTTGATTTTTATGTCGGCCCAAGCATTGCTGAAACCCCTGCTCCTCTTCTCCCTCATTGACTTCCATTTATTATGCAGAAGTCAGTGTGGAAACCACACAGGAACTCTGCCCACATCTATCTGGTTTGCCGTGCACAAGCTGTAAACCTTTGACTCTTCATCATGTCATGTGGTAAAATGAGGGAGCCATAACTAAGGACTGGAATATTCCTCCAGTCTCTAACATTCGCCCTATTAAATAGATTGTCAGGACTTTGAACTTGCCCCCTGACTAGTTACATTCTTAGTCAATAAAAGTTGAGAAAATAAAGTACATTTACAAAGTGAAGTATAAGCCAGTTGCCTCAACAAAACTAACAGGGTTGCGACTTCCTGGTTTAGATAAGAATGCTTGGCCCTTTGCCTAATAATGACGCCTCACTTCCAAGTCTCATGGAGAATCACATTTTCAAAAGGGCATAGAAAGGTTATCTACTCTTTCTTTTAGTCAAGAACATACTCAAAGCAAACCAGATATTTAAAAGTCAAATTTTCATTCTGGCTTTTAAAATAGTAATACATAGTGTTTGTAGGAAATTTGAAAATGCAGGAAACTAAAGGAGAAAATAATCATCACCTTTTTATTTTCTCCACTCAGAGGTAACTTTTAATATTTCTGTATGTATCCTTCTAATCTTTTTTTTCACATATCGATATTTTAAGCTCTATAAATATTTCTATAATAGTCACATATTGAATATTTGAATAAATATATATTTATATTTTATATATATTTTATATATATATATTATATTATATTATATTATGTATTAACATTTTCCATGTTGTTCTCCCACAAATCATTTTTAATTACTGTATTCTAGTCCAGGGGTTCAGCAACGTTTCCTTGTAAAGGGCCAAAGAGTAAATATTTGAGGCTTTGGAGGCCATATGATCTCTGTCACAACTACACAACTCTGCTGTGGGAGCAGGCAGGTAGCCATGGACAATATATAAATAATTGGGCATGGCTATCTTGCAATAAAACTTTATTTATGTAAAAAAAGGCAGCAGCTAAACCTAGCCTGCAGGCCAGTATTTGAACTCTTGTGTTTCAAAAAATGTAGTTCATTGGTTAGGAATACTTCGAAATTCATCTAATATCCTGTTGTCGACACATAGGCTACTTTCAATTTTTTTTGCTATTGTGGACAATACTGTGACATATACATCTTTCATTATTTCAGTAGAATACACCAAGACATAGAATTGGTGCTAAGGCTATTGCTACATAAAACAAGTATACACAGACATACTCACCCACTCCACACTCACACACAAGTGCATGTACTTTGCTTTTCTACCTCAGAGATAATCTGTTAAAAGTGTGATATGCATACTCTCAGATTTCTTATAGGCTTACAGATTTCCCTCTCCCCCAAATGGCATCATGCTATACTTTAGGTTCACTAACCTGCTCTTTTCACTTAATGTTTTTGTTTGTTTGTTTAAGAATCTTGCCATGTCAATGAGTATTGATCTGCCTCCCTCGTCCTTTTTAAACAGCTGTCTGGTATTTCGCTGAATGGACTCACATTCAAAAAATATTTACTGAACACTGAGTGTCATGCATTGTTCTCAGCACTGGGAATACTATGTGAACAAAACAAATACTT